CTTGCCTTCCCTCTGCCAGCAGGACGGGGTCGAGCCATGCGTGGAGATGCCCCAGGGAAGGCCTGGGGAGCTAACGGGCATGGACCTGCCTGCAACGTCGCCACAACTCATCGGGTAGCTACCTCGGAGGAGCCCAGAACTTTGGTCTGGGCTTCAGCTGTCTCCAGAGGAGGCCAACGCGCTCCTGGAGATGCCTTGGAGGTCTCCTGGAGAGCTACTGGGCATAGACTCATGGAATCACAGGATCATGAAGGTTGGAGAAGACCTCTAGGACCATCAAGCCCAACTGCCAACCCAACCCCACCATGCCTGCTCAACCATGTCCCCAAGGGCCACATCCACAGGGTTCTGGAACCCCTCCAGGGATGGGGACTCCCCCACTGCCCTGGGCAGCCTGGCCCAAGGCCTGACCACTCTTCCAGTGAAGACATTTTTCCCAGTGCCCAGCCTGACAGAAGCAGACACCACGCCTTCGGGAGCTCCAGACTCCTCCACGGCAGCCACCCAAGGAGCTTTGGGTACGCCAAGGTAGGTCCATGCCGCAGCTCTTCTGGGCTCCTCCCAGGCATCTCCAGGAGTGCTCTGGCTTTCCCTGGAGGCAGCTGGAGGCCGGGGCAGCAGCCCTGGACTCCTCCTGGGTAATTAGCTGGAGTTCTGTCCGTGGCGGGTGGTTGGAATGAGATGGTCTGTAAGGTCCCTTCCAACCCAAACCATCTGATGATTCCATGTTTGGGGGGGGGGAAAGGTGTGAGACACATCACGTGCCACCTGAAAAGTCATAAATTACCCAACCTGAACTCAAAACCATCAACTACATAGACAGGACTTGTTAAAATTACCCAACCTGAACTCAAAACCATCAACTACATAGACAGGACTCGTTAGGATGCCGATGGACTTTGATGTCCCCAGATCACCGCTCCTTTCTGATGTCGTGACAGCTCCCCGAGCCGTGCCTGGGCCTGCGGAGGCGATGACCTCCCTGCCATGGGGAGCCATGGAGGTGGGCACAGGGCGCCCGCGGGGACAGGGCCATCACCCTCCCACCTCCCCTCATCATTCTGGCCTTCTGCCCCGCACCAAAAACCCATCAGGGTGGGTTTTCCTCAGCTGTATCCTCATGACGCGGTCTTCACCCTCACGCCTTCCCGGTGACACGGGACTGTCCGGCTCCCAGGCTTCCAACCCTCCCACCACCCATCTTTTGCCTGATGGTGTCATTTACTGCACCAGGAGACCTCAGCATCATCCTGTTTCCTGGGGTTAAAGTGGAGAATGGGTTGGACTGGGTGATCCCCAGAGGTCCCTTCCAACCCCTACCACTCCATGACTCTGCGATGGACTGTCCGGGTCACGTTCTTTGGAAGGGAACATTGATCCCGAGCGTCTCACCTCGGCTCCAGGACATCTCCTGCACCCGCCGTCACCTTCCGACCGGCCCCCGAGCAAACTCTGCCCTCCAAAACACGGACTCACCTCGTCAAAGAGCTGCAGCATGATGGTGAGGACGTCTGGGTGGGCTTTGTCGACCTCGTCGAACAGCACCACAGCATTCGGGCACTGCCTCAGCTTCTTGGTGAGCTGCCCGCCCTCCTCGTGGCCCACGTAGCCGGGTGGAGAGCCGATGAACTTGGCGACCTAGGAGGGAGCAACAGGACGTGTGAAAGCTGATCCTTGGATGCCAGGGATCACTCATGCCAGGGATGATGCCCAAGACCTATCTTCACCTCCTTCATCCTTTTTAAGAGCAAGAATTCTCTTGGTGGTACGGGAAGGAGAAGGAATTCCTGAAGCAAACCCCCAAATCCTCATAAACCACAGAAATTTCCTCTCCCTCATCCAGGGCGAGGAGCAGCAGAGCTGAAGGGTGACTCTGTCGCGGTCTCAGTGCTGGTGAAGGATGAAAGCCACGTGTGCCGCGGCGTGGCTGCACCGGCGTGTCCCCTCCGGTGAGCCTGGCTCCGCGGGGCCGGCAGAGAGGAGCCACGGCAGCGGCCCCCACCCCCGGACCCTACCTGGGG